CACGGGTTAAAGTGAATGTGTATGTTTTCTTGCTCATGTGTTTCAGTCTCTGGAGAAATTTCCTTTTCTTTTAGGAAGACTGGACTTTGACTAGTCATTTGGTTGTGGTTTATGGCCTGATTGAGGTATTGCTGCTGACTAAATTCAGTAAGGGTAACATGTTGAGCTTCTATTTATGGTAATAAAAATTGAGAAATCTTGACAAAATCCATCTTTGCTGGGTGAGACCTTTTCAAGGATTGTTTCCTGTTCTTGTTGTCTAACTGTAGATTACTAAGAGGCCTTGGAATCATTCTCAATGGGACACTTCCTGCAGATCAGTCCTAGTGTTGTTGCTCATCGCAGACTGACAGTTGTACAAGGGTAGGGTCAGACAGAAGATGACCAAGTTACCTCTTGCGCTTTCCAAATGCTGTAAGCCAGCTGAGAGGTTTCTGCTGGAAAAGGAAAGTTTAAGTTGTTGCCAGATGGTGAGATTGTTAATCCAGCCTAGTCCTCTTCCGCGAGGTTAGGACGTCCCTTGCATAGCTCTCGTTAGAACCCTCTAAAGACTGTTCGCTTTGAGCCTGCTAGTGCGTTTATGGGGGAGAGGAAGGGAAGGCACCCGCAAGATTTGACCAAACAACCCCCGCACTCTTTCGCACCACCTTTGCCAGCTGTTGCAGAGATCCAGATTTGCCTTGGAGGAAATCAGTGAACTGGGAGTTGCTGCCTCCAAGATCAGCTCACGGGTGGCAGCGTGCCTTTGGAAAGGCAGTATTTCGTCTGTCTGCAGTTAGGAGCCCGTACCGCAGACCTTCTCTTCCTTCCTAATTGAGTGTGCTGTTTCTGCTAAACACTGTCTCCTTTTGTTATCAAAGAGACGTTTTCTGGGGCATGTGTCACTGAGCAGGGGGAGATGAGCAAAAGAAAGCTTGGTAATCTTGGTTCTAGGACATGGCCTTAGTATCAGGAATGAGGGACTTCAAATTGGAGGTTCATCTTATGAGCTTGTGAATGTGGATGATTGCTGCCTGCTGTTTGAATGGGTTTTGTTTGATCTGTGTGGATTTGTTAAGTAGCAAGGGGAGTTTTCAAAGATAACTTTTTAGCCTGTCTGGCTGCTGGGAAGTTAACTCCTCATGGTGCTGTATCCATTTGCCACTTTGTTTTGTTCCTCGTAAGGGCCTGGTTCCTGCATTGCAGATGATGCTTGCTTGTATCATCATTTTTCTGCTGTGATTCACTGTATGAATGAGGTCATACTTCTGCCTGGTTCCAGAGCTCCTGGCTCCTGCCTTAGGTTAAGTGAGGGATCAGTCTGTGAGGTCTTCAGCTAAATACCTGCAAATTCTTTTTTTCTTACTCCCTCTGCCTTTGAGTGTCAAAATAATCTAGGTCTAAGTAAAGGCTTCTGATTCTCAAATATTTCTAGATGGGTGGGCGTCTTTCACAGTTATAAAAATCCATCAGTTCTGGCTTTTAACTACAGGATCCTCTTAACAGATTTTGATTAGTGAAAGAGGAGTAAGAGAAGTTGGAGCTTATTCAGACTTCAGCTTTGCCCCAAAAAGGGGCGAAAGGAGAAAAATTACTGTGAGTACCATAGAAGCATTTTTTAGTGTTTTCTCCTGAAACTTTCTGGCAGTTGTTACTTCAGGCTCTGTTTTGAACTTGCGTATGTTTTAAATTAAATATGTATAAATAAATGTTGGAAGGACATGTTATCTTTAGTACTTTCTGTTCTGTGGATGAAAAATCTAAGCCTTTTGCTGTACATAATTTCAGCGTGTAACTAAAGAGCTCTGAAAACATCAAAAACGAAAACAAAACTAGCTCCCTTTGAACTGAGAATTTTACTGTAAATGGAAACTATGAAAAGATGGTGAGTTGGCTGCTCACTGTAAGAACTCCAATACTTTGTGGAAATCTGTTTTCCCTTCCTGAAGAGAGATGGTCTGGAACTGGTAGAAGCTCCTGGTTTTCCAGATGGTAACAGCTTTGTTAGTCTTTACATATGTAAAGTGTGTTGAGTGATCCTTTCTATGAATTTTGTGTTCTGCTAGAAGATTTGATTTACAGATACCGTGTTTCAGAAAGGGCAGATTGGGACCTTTATTCTTGTACCATTAGTACAATTAAATTCTTTTGAGCTATGCTAAACTATGTTCGTGTGTGCAGGTCTAATACTATTGCTGTCCCTACTGCTTTGGGAATGCTATTAGATGGCCTGTGGCTGTCTGGCAGCCTCTAAAAGGTCTTGCCATGTGAACATCTTCAGATCGGAGCTTTGAGTCTGGTTCTGCCCCCTTGAAATTTAACTGTGTTCTCAATGGCTTTTGAGAGTGCAAGATGAAGCCTTCGTCACTGACTTGGTGTTCTCAGTAGGGTTTCCACCGTTGTCCATAGAGGGGCTTGGAACTGATATTTGCTGTATGTGTTTGGGGGGGGGATGTTTTTGTTTTGTTTTTTTCCCCAAGAAGATTATGTTGGTGGACTTGCCTCGTCGAAACAATAGTGGGAGAATAAGTACCGCTCTGCAACTAATGTGGGATGCTGGGAGAATTGATTTTCTTTTATATTTTTGCTGTAAGTTCCTGAGAGATGCGAAATCTTTCTCCTACCATTTCTAAACTCTGTAATGGGGACGTGGTCATGATGGAAAAAGAGTTTTAAAGTTTTTTGGTAAAAATATGAATGCAACACTTGTTTTTTTTCTGTAGACTGGATCTTCTGAGGTGCAAAGGTTTGATTCGCAAGGTGATTTATTTGTGGAATGGGATTACTACATCTTTTTGTTTTAAGTGCAGACTTGCTTAGGACTTGAAAGATATCTCCTACCTCATTCTGTCTATTCTCCTGTATAATCTCTTTCAGAAATTTATAAAGCTGTTAAAACTGATTAGGTTTACTATTGCCATTGTCCCTGTTGAAAATCTGCTCTAAAAACTCTCTGATGGTTGGAAACTTCAGGCTTAAAAGTGTAAAATGACCATAAGAAAGTTTATGATCACACATTAAATTTTCCCTCAAATTGAAAAATTTGTCTTCGTCTTTGATTACTATTTGATATGTGTTTATTGAGAGTAAACGTATCTCCTCTCAGCCTGTATTTTGCCAAGCTGAACGAGCAATTCTGTAAGCTGTCCTGTTACAAAAGGCTTTCTGTTCTTTTGACTTGATCCTCCTAGAAACCTAAAATTGCATCTATTTTTGTTTTGAATTCATTTTTTGGTCACAAGTAACCCAAATGACAGAGTATTCAGGTGAGGTCATAGTGCCTTGTGCAGATGGCATTGCTACTTTCTTATCTCTTTGCAACGCCATTCAAGGACTGCATTTCTCTTTGACAAGCGCATCATGTTGCTGATGCCTGGTAACCAGATTCTGTTTCTCAGTGCAAGTCATTTGAAAAAGCCCCTGCTTAGTAGACAGCAGCTTGATTAACTAAGGGTTTTGAGGGCCGAGACCACCAAAGAGTCTGCTTTTTTTGGGAAATGCAAACCATTATTAAGTACCTACTAAAACTCTTGTTTGTTTTATGGCAACATCATAAAATAAATGTTTATGTGAAAGATGCATGTAGAAATTAGATGTGTTATGGCCTTGTCCATAGTGTTCTGTGCATAGCAGACGTGGTCTGGGAACAGGGAAGCATGGGCGTTCAGAAATGACAGCAGGTTGCAGTTAAACTTAAGGTTTGAACCCCTGTCTTCCCCCTAAAGCAGACCTTTCTCGTTCTGGCCAGTGGCATTCCTCAGTATGCTTCAACTGTATGCTTTTGCTTTGGCATGTCTTTCAGCCCACGTGATGCCAGTCACAGCGGTGATATTGTAGACTACTGAGCTTTAGGGAACATCAGAAATCTGGAGCTGTAGCAAAGGTAGAGTGGGAGAGACCTGAGCCAACTGCGACTCCCCAGGAAAAGGGGGTCAGAGAGCCCCTTGGCGTCACCTGAGAGGAAGCGAGGGAGATAAGGCTTTGGCGGAAATGTGCTATTTGTCCAAAATAAACCACTTTTCTGAAAAAGTGAATACCAAAGTGCTGTGGTGTTATCTCCCTGAGTACCTGTCTGATGTGTGGTCCAGTAAAGCTGATGCTAGAACTCTCCAGTAGCTTCAGTGGAGCTATGATCTTAACCATTGCAGAAAGCAAGCAAATAAAATGGGTGATATGAAACAAAAGACCCCTCTTGCTGCCCATCATTGTCTCTTAAACGCTTGCTCTTATTTTCAAGTGAAATAGCTGTTCTGTCTGTGATTTTTTCTACTTTGCATGAACTACGTTGGATCAGGGAAGGCTGAAAAAGCCACAAAAAAGCACATTTGTTCATTCGGGTCAGTATAAATTAAAGGGATGTCTGAGCCACTGCCTGTCCTGTTACATGTGCGATTGTTGATGTGGTGATGTTTAACTATTTTAGTTAATTTTCTTTAGTCTCATTTTCTTCATGTGAAAAGAACAAAGGTCAGTGATCTGTGACAAATCTGGCAATGCCAAACTTGTGAGCGTAATGGAGAGGAAAAGTAATTCAGGTGGGTAAGAGATTCTCCCCTCCATACAATAAAAACACGAAGGAATGATTTCAGTGCATGGATACTTTTCCCTGCCCTGTTAAAAACAGGATTTACCCCTTGTGGAATGGGAAAGTGTGACTTTTGGTCTCTGGAACCGGTGAATTTGCTTGTGATATCTGTTCCCCAGCCCAGAGAACACCTGTAGCTCATACTTGGGTACACAATCTCAGCAGAGGAACATATCCGTAGGAGGCAATGCAGTGACCTCGTATGCTGTCTTATTTAGCCTGTGCATTTAAATCAAAACCAGCAAGCTTGTATCTGCCTGCTAGTGTCTCCCTCTAGTCTTGGGTAGAGTATCATCAGCCAGTTGAGAGTTTTGCCTTCTTGTCAAAGTGGATGTTACAACAGTGTTGGTACAGGGATGGGTTTCTTATAAAAACGTACTTTGAAGAGGCTGAAGATGATGAGAACTAAGTCAGTTACTCAAATCAATTTGGCTTCTTGCATTTATTTCCCTCTTCCTGTAGACTACAGTTCTGCAATGGTCATTGTTTGTCATGGAATGAAATTGTGGTTGCCATCATGGAATTTAGGGTTAAAGTAGAAGAGACTTTGGAGAAGAGGATTTAATATAAATTTATGAGCTATTGCTTGCATAAATAACAAAAAGAAAAATATTATTTATACCCTCTTATAGCACAGTTACCTAGAATACATACAGCAATACTACAGTATGGACATGGCTGTCATTCCACTATACGTAACTGACTTGTTCTTCTGTTTTGTCAACTTCATTCTCTGTGAGCAGCAGTGTATCCAGCAGAATGGCTGATGATGCTTGGATGGGTGAACTCCTCAGCCTCATTGGGCTCTGGTACATAATGGGATTAATCCCATTTCGCATCCCATGCATAACAAAGAGCTTGGAATTTTCTGTCACAGAATTTCTGAAAGAGATCCTGCCGGAGCATTTCCGAAGGGCCTTAACAGGCTTTGTGGTCCGATAGTTGCAAGTGATATACCTGCTGAAAGCTTCCCTAAACGTTTTGTTAAAGAGTGTATAGACAAGAGGGTTCACCCCTGACGACACGTATCCTATCCAAACAAATATCTCCATGAGCTTTTGAAAAACTTTCTTGTTGCAGGAGTTGCACAGGACTGAACTTATGTTTGTTATGAAGAATGGGCACCACATCAGCAAGAAAAGGAAAAATACAATCCCCAGAACTTTTGAAGCCCTTTGTTCATTGGTGATGGTTTGCATGGATTTCCTCCCAATTGCAGACATTCTGCAGACAGGCATATCATTGGACAAAGTCTTGTCCTTTCTGGAGCCGTTTAGCATAGCCACCTTTTCTGGTGAGGACACGTGTGTTATGTCCCGCTGAAATACTGTGGACACCGTTGACCAAGTGAAACGCTGAGGTGGCTTGTTGATCAAGTAGGCTTTCTTGCGTAGCACTTGGATTGTCAGAAAATAAGTGACTATCATGATAGCGAGGGGAATGAAGAAGGCAGCCACTGATCCGTATAGGATGAAGTCACGAAAACGATCAGGCATCAAGACGCACGTTATATTTGTAGAGTTGCCGTTTCCATCTTCAATGCCTCTGATAGGGACTGGAATAGCAATGCCTAGAGGAGAAAAAGCAAGTGGTTCAGCATGGTAATTGCTTGCAATCTCCCTTTTGGACCTGAAGCCACAGGGTCAGTAAGGAAAGGTGATTCACACAGTGACTTGAAAGAACATGAGTTGTTGGGAACATCAGGTGGATAGCTTGGGCAAATACTACTTTGAAACTTGGCAAGTTCTGCTTTAAAAGAATGGCCTTTTTAACTGAGATTGGGCCTAACCCTTAATGGTTGAGAATTTGGCAGCCTTATATTGCTTTCTAAAGTGTAAAACACATAATTGCTTTGCTTTTAGTTGCTACAATTAGTGTGGCTTTTCCTCTGGTGAAATAAGTTTTCCTAATGTTGTCTGCCTTTTTTTCTGGGGTAGCCTTTGCACTCTTTGAAGGCCAGTTGTCTAAATACATAAAACTTGTTTTTCTCCCTTATCTTAACCACATGAAATGATCGGACACAGACAGCTGATTTTTTTCACCCTGCTTGAATCTTTCGTATATACAAATAGTTAAATAGATGCCAAAATTCTGCAGTGTATGTTTGAGATGGATTTGTTGTTTAAAGTTTCTTGGATATTTAAGAGTGTTTAAATGAGGCTAGCTAGCTAGCTCTGTAATTCACCGCTCGTTTGAAGAAGAAAAGAAAAAAAAAAGGTAGCAGTCTTGTCTTTTTAAATGAATTTTTTATAACTGCTAAATTACAGTCAGCACTTCATTTGCCAGCAGTCTGACATTGCAACAAAAACAACAGGTTCCTTGCTGTCTGGTGAAGGTTATTTGTGCCATGTTTCCTGATACCCCTTAATGAGATCTAGGGATTTACGGTATTCCTCTGCTACTCGGCTTACTGAAGTTGGTCAAAAGCAGCAAGCAGCAAAATGGTTTATTCTCCAGCCACTTGATCCCTTCCTTAATAAGAGGGACACCTTCAGATACAGCAAACATTTAAAATGAGAATTGAATCAAATTAACCTTTGAGTTGGAGAACTATAGCTCAGCTGCAGAGTAGTGTTGTGACAGGAAAAAAACAAAATGAAAAAGTGCCGCACTGATTAATAACAATAACTCAGATATTAAAAGGACAGCATATATAAGTGTCTTGTCTTGCTAGCAGTTTCCTTTTTTTGTGGTAAAAAAGATACATCTTTTCTCCTGTCATCGTAGATCTTCCCTAATTTTTTTTTTAATGTTGGAATTTCTGTTTTTAGGCATGTATGCCTAGGTCAAGAAGATGGATGTACCCATTGTCTTGTGCATCGCTGGCCAAACCAATTCAGAATAAGTTTGTTCTTTCTATTGGCAGGCAGAGCATACAACACTGTGTCTGTTGCTGCGTGCAGTGCAGGTTGGTTACTTGAATTAAATGTTTTCACCCCCTTAGTTCATTTAACAGATTTATTTACATTCTTTGAATGGTTCTTTAAAAAAGAACCATTAAAGACAGGTTAAGTGCCACATACAGAAGAGAGAGTTGCTAATATAAATGGATATACATTTGCATCTTTCATATAAACTGATTATTTACATTTTTGCTGAAAAATTAGACTTCTCTATATTGTCAATAAATGTTAATCTTCAATGTGAATGTTCCTGGTAGATCACTTGCATTGAAGATTGAAAGAGTGACCTTTTCTTCCTTGCTTCATGGGATAGTTGTAAGCAAGGCACTGATTTTAGCAGCATCTACTCAAGGCTTAAAATTGTGTTTGGGACAGAATATAGTAGACTGGTTCCACAGGAACCTGAAATCTTGCTCTCCCAGCAGACATATGCTACCCAAACAGATGATGTATTCCCGTTTGTGGACTTTTAGGACTGTGAAGAAGAGTGGTGATTATCCTTACTCAGCCCTTGGCCTTTCCAGTAAGCCTGACAAGGAGCATCTGTTGAGACAGATATTTATGATGTAGCCATCTCTGATCCAAGAGGTGGACTTTGGCCAGCCCAGGTGGTAGAGTCTGCTAACCAATAGTACTTTGCCGTTTGCAGCTTTGCCCAGGTTTCAGCTATTGTTTTGGACTTTAAAAGCTTCTGCATTTCCTCTCCAGCCTCCGAGTCTGACATACCTATTGAAATGAGCCAAACCACGATGATTTTGATGATTGTTGTAGCCCATGAATTGTACTGGCTGGCCTGGATTGGCTTTTTAATTGCAATATAGCGATCTAGTGAGATGGCACAGAGGTGCATGATGGAAGCTGTGGAAAAGAGGACGTCGAGGAACAGCCAGATGGGACACAGAGCAGTTGGAAGAGGCCAGGCATTGTCTGAAAGAGAACAGAAAACTCATTACAGTTGTAGCATTTTGTGCGTCTTCAGTGTGTGACTTTTCCTTGGCATTAGTAACTTTGAGAAACTCGTAATCCTACAGGTACTGCACTTTGTCCCTCCCTCAGCGATATTCTGTCTTACTTCTTACTTAGCTCCTTACCAGCATGGTTGCTGCCATCATATTGGTCAGTCTGTTCATGTATTATAAACTTTCCCTGTCCTTTTGTCTGTTTTAGGTCATAAGCTCTTTGTACAAATCGACCATGACTGTGCTTAGTTCTTGGGCCCTGCTGTTAAATGTTTTTTTCAGCTCTGTTTCCTTGATAGTCCAGTGGTTCAAGGTTACATCAAACGGAGGAGATCACAGGCCGTAACCAATGTATTAGTCAGTTATTGCACAACCATGGTTTGAATCTTGACGTTATTGGCAATCCTGAGCAGTCTAGTTCATATAGCCCTAAAAAAGGAAAGTTTGATGTGTCACTGTGTCAGATGCAGTCGAGCACTACTGTGGCAAAGCGCACACTCTCTTCTGTCTGAGAGTAATTAATGCTTTCATAAAATTTGAAGGGCTTTCTTGCATATCACTTCTGAGAGCAGTGGCTTGGGTTTTGAATCTTGCATCCTATTTCTAACAGTAGCTATATATCCTTAATATAAATCTCTGTAGCAGAAACACGATCTGTCAACGGCATTGTGCCCAAGATGAAGGGTTTGTGGTGTTCAGCTTTCCAAAAACCTAGTGTTTTTGAAAGCTGTCTCCCCCCATCAGTGTTTACACTACCAAACTGAATGAACTTTCATGAAACTCTTCAGAGTCTCTTTTACTCATAGTGGTATCAGTGTACTGAATGTATTTGCCCTCCTTACAAAATTCAGCTGTGCTCAATCAGCAGCTGTATTGAAAGTACTGCCAGAGAATGGAGTTCTTCACTGAATGATGATTAAGAGAAAAGACGTTTCTAACCAGTCATGTTGTTTTTAATCTCCCTAATCTGAATAAATGCATCTGCCTACTGAGAATGCCAAATGATCTGGAATATTGTAGTGCTCTATCTTATCAATGGAGTAATTTTGCAGTAGTTTAAAGCACTTTTTCATATGTGACTGGTATATGGAAATAATGCAGTGATGTCTTTACTTGACTTATAAGCCCCAGAGGATGGAAAATTTTATAAAGACTTGTACTGGTGCGTAGCTTGTATTGGTCTGCCCTGCTCTGTATGTTTGGAAACCTTGCCTGTTAGACAAGGAGACCAGATGGAGCCCAGAACTGAGCCTCACTCATTCCCAGAGCAGTGGACTCCAGGTGAGGAGGGTGTAGGAAACGAGGCAGAAAGGAAAGAGAGGGTTTATTTTAAAATCATTAACCAGTAAATTTTAGTATTTAATTGCACGTTTTCCAAAATAAGTATCAGATAGTTGAAATTATGCTTCAGAATTTTTCTTCTCTGTGATGCGGATATGAGAGAGTCGTAATTACTATGTTATGAAAAAGTTGCTTGTATTTAATTTTTCTGTCTACATTTTTAATGGGCTGTAAGATATGGTACCTTCTTAAACAAAAAGAAGGAAAACCGAAACCTCTTAGGGACTCTCAATTAACCAGCTATAGAACTCGACAAGGCGGAAAAAATCATCACTTAAATGAAATAATTGATCTGATAGGCTTGAAATATTCTTATTCACTCTAGAAAAAATAAAAAAGTCTTCCTTTGACTTATGATGAAGAATTGGTTAATACAGATAAAATATGAACTATGGAAAGCGTGTTTTACGTCTTGAAGGATGTACCGATAACACTGCTGGAGTTCAGTTGAGCAGTTGCTGCTTTCTGTTGAGAGTACTTACACGCTGCTCCCTGCATTATAACCGCTTCGCCTGCTGGAGCGGATTTAGGTAACGCAGTATAATAAACTCTTTCCTTTTGCAATGAATTTGCTCTTTGCAGAACAAAACCCTCAAATACTCTACAACAGAAAGGTGTTTTCCTTGCTTTGACTATAGATGTACTTAAATAGCTATATGATGCGGAGCAACCTTGTATGGTTTTATTTGAGCTGCAGAGCTTTTGTTAGTTGATGACTGCAACTTAACAGAGAAAGCTTTGTTTTTTGAATTTTTTGTCTTGTTTTGAAGCAGATGCCGGAGGCAGAAAGTTATCACGTTCATGAACGTAGCGTTATGTAGTGTTATCTTTGTGTGCACGTGATGGTGTTTCTACTCCAAACAAAAGTAGCTGATAAGAATTGAAGGGTATCGTTATTATTAAAATAATCGCTGTGAAAGTCTGATACCTCTAGCTCTTTAAGAATCACATAGTTGTCTCAGATTCATGCTGCAGCATATTTTGCTTTTCTCTATTTTGATTTGTGTGTACATGTGTGTGTGTTAGAAGTTGCGTGCCGAGTGTTCGGGGGGCTGTTTCAGGCTGTGCCTTTGTGCTTTCCTAGCGCTGGTAAATGTTTCACTGTTTGCCAATCCTGTTATTTTAGGAGTAGGGACAAGGCGAGATACTAGTTTCCCCTCAGGATCCAGAAAGTGACTTTTTTGACCCTCGAAGATGACGACAACCTGCTTGTTTGCCGTCCTGCTTTATAATTTAGACTGAAGGTGAAAAGAATAGCTAACTACCAAGTGGTGACAGAAAGCTTTTAACAGGTCATGCTCAGTTTGGACTGTTGCAAGGGCTAATTCTCCCGTCGTCGATGTCCCCATTGGTGGCGCAAACCAATGCTTCAAATGACTTACTGTGCTGACCAAGGTTCTCCAGTTACTTTTGCTTTGGGAGTTGAAATACTGATTTAGATGAGCCTACCGGTTTGGATGTGGGTGTTTTTTTGTTGTAGTTTTTTTATGCCTAGGTTATCTGGTAAACATGCCTGCCTGAAAACGTCTCTGGCTTGTCCAGCTAGATTAGGTTGTGTAAGATAAAAAAGGAACTTTTCCTCCCTACAAACCTTGCCTTGGGCCCTCCCAGCTGCAGCAGTGTTGCTGGTGCAGATTACTTTATTTTTTGGTCAATACAAGAGAAAATATGTGTTTTAAGATTTGTCCTCTATCTAAAGAGGAATGCAGTGAGCTTTTACTGCAACCGTCTACCCTTGATTTATGGAATGAGGAAAGCTTTATTTATAGGAAATACCTTGGAAATGTGTAATCCTTAAAATGAAGTACTGCATAGAAAAGCTGCTCTTGCTATAGGCCAAAAGGTTTTCAGAAAGCTTGGGGGAAAACTCTGTTTATGTGTATGTATAAGCCTGACTAAGAAAGATCTTTAAATAGACTTAAAAAATCATTTGTTCTTTTGCTATAAGGGCTGTTGAAATGTGTTGCCTGTGCAGGATTTTGTTATAGGAATCATTTCGTTGCTGTTAGATCATGGCGCTTTTACTGAGATAGAAATTTGACTCTCTTTAATCAGTAGCTGGCTAGCCTAGGCGTCCGTCTCCAAACTGGGGTGTGCGTGTTTGTAGGCAGGCTTGTAGTGTCCTTCACCCTGGTGTCAGTACTCAGCTCAGCGGGCTTTGTGGGCCTGAAGTTCCTTAAAACACGTCTTACTTTGTCACTCCCTATGAGTGCTTGCCTTTATTTCTCCGCTGCAATTCCAGTTTCAGCAGTAGTTGTTTACTGCCGTGCAGTATTTTGAGTTTAATCAAAGCAATTTTATTAGAGTTGCTTTATGGAAAATAAACTCTCTTTCTTAGTTAGCTTTATACTTCTGGTTTTGCAAATAGCCATCAATGCCACTAGTTTTATCTCCTGTTGTATTTTCTACAAGCGAGTAAGATTTGCTGTGGTTCATGATCAGTAATGGAAGGAAGATTAAGGCTGTAGTTGCTAGTGATGAATTTTAAAAATAATAATTTGCAGCCTGGGATAATAGCATTACCTCTTGATTCTTCAGCAGATGCAGATCAAGAATATAAAACGTATTTTAGAAGATGGCATGTCCACTGTCTCCAGGTAACCCGCTGCCCACCAAGCCGTAGACAATGCGCCGCTACTTCTTGCGGGCTTTGTAAATCAGAGGCTCTCTCTTAAATACTTGCTAATTTCCCTAGCTGACAAGTCCTTTGTTTTGCTCCCTTGGTGGGGAATGCTGTACCTTCCCGTGACAGTTTTGAAAGCTAGAGTTCAAAGAATGCACTTTTTTCCTGACGTGCCCTCTTTGTGGAAGAACCTGCGAAGAGGAATTTAGCGACCAGTAGAAGTAATGACCTGTTTGTAAATTCTGACACTCGCGCTCTTTTAAATTAAAACGGCAAGGTATGTTTATGCTGAAGTACATTTTAGTTGCTCTTCTGAGAAGAAATAATCTGCTGCTTATGGCATTGTACCTGTGAGTTACAGATTTTCTTTTTTCAAAAAGATTAGCTCTTCGTTACAGAGAGAGTTCTGCGTTTGAAGATTTTTCTGTAAGCGTACCGTCAGGGCATGGAGCCAGTATCACATTAATTTTTACTGTCAAGATCGTTTAATGTGACTGCGTTTTAGTTCACACCTTTTCCCTCAAATATGCTCCACATAATTAGGTATCAGTCCAAAATCGGAAGCATAATATTTATATTCTGTATCTAGAAACTGCACACAGCTGTTTTATTATTATGGAAACACTCCTGCGTGAAAGTGCCAGAAGGCTGCGTTTGGTTGGCGCTCTGACTATCAATGATTATTCTGGGTTCAAGTAGTTATCTGGCTAACGTAGCCTGGAGATTTAGACTTGTTGTGTACTTAAAGGTCTGTGTTCTTGTGTCGTTCCAGCAGCCCCTCGCGTTTTGCTCGCGGTTTGAACTTTCTATAAACACCTCGGCATCTTCCACCAATTGGTGAAGAGGCAAAGCATTTTTTTTTTTTTTCTCTTTGGCTGCGAAGCAGATATTTTATGCAAGTTAATTTCAGTTTTAACCACTGCTATGTGAAAGACTGGTAGCACTCTTAGGTGGTTAATTATGTCTGATGTTACGACTTGCTTGTAAATGTCCTGCAACGTGAAAGGTGCTTTTGTTTGACTTCTAAATTAAGATTCCTCACATGTTTTAAACTGTTGTAACCAGGGTTTAGCACTGGATTAGTTGAGAGATTAAGGAACGATTATTATAATAAAAGTAAAAAGAAAAGGAATTATTAGTCTAGGAAAATTAAAACGCACACGCTCGCTCACACACTCCAGAACATACCTTTCCTTTGTATTTGTTGCTAGTCAAATACTGGTGCTTTTATGATTATTAATTTTATTATTTTAATATTTAGGAGGCCTTTAGCAGGAACTGAGCAGTGACAATAGCTGTGTGTGTGTGCATGTATATAGATCTCTATCTACTTCTCTCTCCACGCACACACACCATATCAAGTGATTTTCTATAAGCGACAGTTGTTTTCTTTTTCAAATTAAATATCACTGCCTGTGGGTGTGTTTTTATGTTTTCAAGCAACAGCTTCTAAAAATAGACCTTCTTTTTTATGATTTCAACTCTGAATTCTGTCCTCCAATTCGTACCTCTGTTAGGGAGAGGCAGTATATAGTATGCAAGAATTCAGTGCCAAGGCATTTAATGAGTAAAGACATTTGTTAATAAAATGATACCAGTCCTCTGCAGCAAACAAAACCTACTGCTGGCCTTTTTGAAATTAAGTTTCTGCTTATGTCTGCTTGTTGCTCTGGCAACTCTTAGAGACCTAGCATAGGAAAAACAAACTCCTGCAGCTTCTCGTTATTTATGGTCCAATGTTATCGATACCTTAAAGACAGATAATTAAATCATAACTTACTGAAAACCCCTCTCATGTTGATTTCCCCTCCACCTCCAATTTCTGTGATACTGGAATAGATGATTTAAAATAAAATATATTCTTAAAAAAGCTTTATGAGTTTAAAAAAAAAAAAGAGAGAAGAAAAGAAAGAAAGACTTTCCCATGGTGGTGCTTCTGATGAGTTATTAAAAGCAATATTTTAAATAAAGCTGGACATGTGAGAATATGAAAGTCATGTTTGTTCTGTAATGACTAACCAGAAGGAAAACGTCACACCCAATGTAAATTTGTATAAAAAAAAAAAAAAGTTTTATTCCGTATGAGCCAGACTAAATGGTAATCTGAGTCTTATCTACATTAAGTACCTGGATAGATTGAAGTTGCCGTGGCTTAGCAGATAAATTAACTCTTTGGGACGCTTTGTGAACCTTGCCATTTTCCCCAAGCAGGAGAAAATCGGTTTCCCTGAAGCTGGTAAAACTTGTTGTCTGTGGTGCTTCCCAGAGATCAGCTCTGACGGCACTTAGAGCACAGCATTGATACTAAGATAAAATTAAGTGGCATTGACTCCTAGGAACTGCTTCAAAAACTATTCACAGCTTAGTTCTTTTAGCAGAAAAACTCATTCCTCATGTCATGTTTTCAAGAGAAGACTGCTTGCCGTTATTGTAATATCCAACAGAACAGATATCAGCATTGGGCTGATGTTGTTTGAAATAATAATCCACTGTACAATAACATAATTTCCCGCGTACTTGCCCCTCTCCAGTTTAGTATCGGTTCTAAGTCGCAAGTGTGTTTTGAGCGATTTGTTTCAAGGAAAAGAATATCCACGGTGGGTATACTTTCTCCAAAGGCATTTGGCTGGACTATATTATGGTTAGAGGGAGGGAAGAGTTGGGAGCCCTTATCCAAGTAATTTTAAAAATATATAATAGTGGAAAATAAACAGAGCAATTGTTTAAATTAGACTTTCCAAAATTGTACCCAGTATATTGGCTTGATGACAGAAACAAATGCAGTGTACTTACCAAATAGTATTATGAGAAGGGCAATCGGCATCACAAAGAGACCCACCAGTAAATCTGCCACTGCCAAGGATGTTAGAAAGTAGTTGGTAGCATACTGCAACTTTTTCTCCAGAGATACCGCCAGTATAACAAGTATGTTCCCCCCAACGGTGGGGATTATCACCAGGAGGATCAGTAAAGCTGCCCAACGCACTTTGCTTCCTTGTTCGTCATTTGGGTAGTTCTGTTTGGGCTCTCCTGTTACTGAGAGAGGCGACAGAGATCCGTTGCCAGCTCCAGACTCATTCAAGAAATCTGAAGAATAGGACATTTTTGTGCCTGGCAGAATGTGCTCAGGAGTAGTATTTCGTGCAGAAATTGTGTATGGTATGAGAATTCACTGTTCCTCTCTGGTCCTGGATGGTCCGGAAGAAAGGCCAGCATGGTCAGTATGGTAAACTGGTCATCTGCTATTTTGAGATACAGTAACCATGTCGGAGCTTGTATCCAGACTTTTTAGCCTGTGCCTGGCTGGGCGCAACTAGGTCTTAAAAATGAAAGTCTTGTCTGGTGTCCATCTCTGGCTGGTCGGGTCCAGCGGTCTGGTCGCCCCTTTATAGGGAGGTTCAGGTCTCAGCAGATTAGATGAGAGAATTCAATAGCTGTGAAAAGCAAGCTGTGCGTTAGCTCCCGTTATTTTTCTATAGCGGTAAGAAGTGATAGATGAATTTGGATGCCAAACATATTTGGTTTCCTTTAGATGCAGTGTGTGTAGATTTGCTCTTTGTGAGTACAAACTGATGCAAAGACAGATGCTCGCGTTGTGTATGTGCAACTCCTCCTCTCCTGAGTGTCTAGTCTCCAGCAGTGTGTGCGTAGGCAGGCTGCAGTTCCCATATTTCCCCTTATTAAGAATCCTGTTTCCCCATAGAGAGTCACCCCAAAAATATCTTCAGAAATGATGTATGAGGTTTCCGTTTTGATGTCTACAGTTCCTAATTTATCAGGTGAGGGTCAGGAAGCTGCAGACAATAAAACACTGGTGACTGTCCCAAGGGAGCCATAAAGCTCTATGGAGCTGAGACATCTAAATTTACCCATGAGTTGAAGGGGGTGGGGGGAGGTGAGTAAGCTGCTTGGTGTTTTTGTAATGTGAGCAAAGCTTTTATTAAGCACAGCCTTTCTCTCCCTTCTCTCTTTCTCTGTGTCTGTCCTCGTATCTCTGTCGGCTCCACTGAAGACTTAACGCTTGCGTTTCCCCCTCCAAGCAGGCACGAAACCAGCTGTCACTTTGTAGGCTGCCTGCTCAGTTGCTGAGTAGATTTGACTTGCCGCAATTTTCGTGCAAAGAAAGCCTTACCTTTTTCGCGTGCGTTTTTGTAGAATTCACTTTTGTGTCCGGGAAGATCCTTTGTAATGTGATCCTTTTCGTCACGTGGTGGATTTTCGGATGCGATTGTTTTTCACTACCTTCTATAAAGAAGTTGTTCATTCATTTTTGGGGGTTTTGTAACTTTTCTTAAGCGTGTCTCCGTGTGCGCCTTTGTTTAGCACTTGTTTTGCTTTTAACACCGAGATTAAGGATTTCTCTTTTGGGGAAAAATATATTTCTTACCCAGGTGTTTTCTCCAACTCTTGAATGGAGGAGAAGAATCATTGTTGCCACATTTAAAAAAGAAAAAAAACAGGTGTATGTTCGTTTTTGCTGTCCTTCCTCTTCCGTTCTTTCATTACGTGATTAACACACGCGATCCGAGCGTTTCACGTCTCTTGGTCTGCATCTCCGTCTGTGTACGCTTTTCTCTTTGTTTATTAGCAAAACTTGCAGTCTGCTGCTACAGTTGTTTTTTGATTGAGTTATTCCAGGGCATCCAGCTCCAGTGGTTGAAAGCAAGGGAATAAATGAGTGGGGGGATGTTTGGCTGGAAGAGAGCCAGAGAGGGCTAGCTTATTCAGCGCTCCGGTACTATAACGTATGCTCCTTGTTGCTGCATCAGGATGTGCAGATTCAGTAACGCTACAATATTATAACTTTATTCAGTATAGCGTGAGTATGCCTGTTTGTTCTCTCTCGCTCGACAGAAGCACAGTTAACCCTAAGAAGTTCTGCCGTACTGTAAACCCTCTAGTTTTAACGTTGACTTATTTTATGCATGCATGTTCTAGCACACCGTTTTAAGTGTGTACGCTGTTACTTTAAATCTTTCTACATGCAGCTGCTTTTTATTATCATGAGTATTGTATTTTACCTTCCAAATTTCAGTCAAATGTGTATATAGTCACTAACTTCAAAATATATTTCTGTATTAAAATGGAAATTGAATTCACTTCCAAGGACATTCAGCTGGACAAGTGTGTAATAGAGTCATTGAACTTGAGGCCAGAAGAGACCAAGAAATCAGGGTCTGACCCCTTGTATGGCACAGGCCATTGCATTCAGTGAATTGCTAATGCTCCCCAGGTTTGATTTGGGAAGCGGGTCCGCAGTGAACTGTGAATCAGTTTGTATTTGTTTCTGAAGACATGAATGTGGGGTGGGGTGGGGGGTGTTTTTTTTTTTTTTTTTTTTGTAATACACCTACTTTGGAGCCAGAGAGGAAAAGCTGCTGCCGTGGTTAGCAGAAATATTTAACTTTGCTGTGTTTTCAGACAGTGCAGTAGAATTTCCAGCAAAGTAGATATCACTTGCTCTGTATTTTTACAGTTTGAAGGAAACCCCGGATAAGATTTCATGCTGCCTTCCTTTGCAATTGTCTTTTGCTGTCTTATCTTCATTCTTTAGAAAGTTACATTCTAGGAAATAGAAATGAATCTAGCTATAGTAATTGTTTCCTTGCCATCTGACCACCTCCCTGTTGTCGTCTCTGACAGTGCTGTGAGTATGGAGGACACGAATACATATAAAAAGCAGAAATCAGGACAGGACAATACTGTATCAGGCTAATGAGTATTTGGATTCAGTTGTCCTTAAGCTCAACTATGTCTAATCAACTTCTGTTTTGTTTTATAAATCTTGAAGAATCTTCTGGCGTTAATCTCGCCCTATTGAAGTCTGTGCCAAAGTTTCCATTGGCTTTAAGCACAGTCAGTTTTCACCCTTTTTGACTTTATAGATGGAGCTTTTTTCCTTCATCATTGACACTTGAGTTATTTTTTTTCCTTGTTGAAAGGAGACTGGGGTTATTATCACTTTCTAGTGATGGAATTATTGGCGATATGTCTGAATCATGAATGGAAAAAAAATCGCAGAGTGAAGCCACAAAAGTATAGTAAAAGACGGATTAGTCCTTTAACTTCAGTGGCCCACTTGCGGGTGTATGCAAAGTGCAGAGGTTCGTGTCACGTCTCTGAATTCAAAGAACAGAATTAAAACCTCTGGGGGGGAAAGAAATAGAGAAAGCATCTATCAAAAACATCTGCTAATCATCAACATCAGTTACTGAAGCAAACCTGCACTGGATCTGGAGCATTATCTTGAAAGAGGTTTATTTCTTCTTTCTTGTCACTTTTTTCCCTCTTTCACAGCAGAGTGGACACTAACCTTCAATCACTGTAGTAGGGGGAAGTACTGGAGCTACAGACATGTAATTTTGTCAACTTGAGTCCTGTGTTACTTCTCTTTAAATTTGCCTTATAGATCTTACACATCTGAGAAGCATCTCTGCTGGTTAGTGCAGTAGAGAGTTGTTGTTATTGAAGTAGAAATCAAGTGTTCCTACTCTTCTGGAGTACCCCTGTGGATGTTATAATGTTATTTATATCAGGAAAACATCTCTTTAACCACTAGAATGCGATTGTTTCAGTGCTTTGCTGAGAAGCATTTTTTTTGCTGTCCTGTTACGTGGGGTGGTGTCTGTTTTGTAATAAAATAAAACAAAGTGGGGTGCGTGCGTGTGCACCTTGAAGAAGCACCAGCTGAAGATTGTACTGTTGTCTGCAATCTGCTCTGATGAATGCTGTGCAAAAATATTCATATCCAACTGAAAAGGGGAGGATTTATTTTTTCATATAGATGAAAAGAAAGCTTTCTTAGAAACTCCCAGAGGATGATGGTATGAGTTTAGGTGTTTGCAGGCTTGTATAGTAGATATACTTAATTGTTTGCTTTGTAAATGTTTTCATTTCAGGTGGCCCAAACTTCTCTGCCTTTTGTACTGTGTTTTGAACAATCCCAAATTTGAATCATTTCTAAGAAACAGATCTATAACATACCTCTTGAAACTTCTTAGCGGCATGTTTCTGGCTGGGCTTTCTTGGCAGGCTACTGCCCTGCCCTCCTGACCAGCATCTTTCCTGTCCTAACCAGTGCTAAAAGCTGGGCCTTGCTAGACCTCGCTCCTGTTCCAATGTGACCTCAATATTTGTACCATGCATAGATTTTTTTTTTTTCTTTTTTATTTTTCCCACCTTGCTGTTCTTTCTGTTTTAAAATCACCAGTACTATTTTGTTTGAATGGGGCCCTGGCCAAATTAGACAGGAGCTGTCACTGATGATAGCGTTGTTCAGCAGATGCATATTCCTCAAATTCGTATGCTGCATCTTTTTATGCACCACTCGCCCTCATCCTCCTAGCTCTGGGATGCCTCCCAGAAGTTCTTATTCTTCAGCAGATCTTGCTTCTTCAACCAGGAGACATTTTAGGAAAAAAACAGTATGGAGAATGAGGCCGTGTTGCGTATGACAGAGTTGCGGGAGGTTCCTGGCGCGGGAGTAGCTTGGATCCTTTTTGTTGAGAGAGAAAGATGGGGGGTTTACACCCATACTTAATATGCACTAAGACGCGTTGCATTTCTCTCGGCACTTTTCCCATCTTCTGTGTGTTCTCCTCCCTCCTTTTAGAAATGACTTCAAATTGTGTGATTAGATATCTGCATTCCTCCTTTATTAACTCTTTCATGGATGAAATTAAACCTCTAGTAAGCTTTTCTTTTTCATCCGTCACTGCAGTAGCAAAGCAGTGCATAGAAATAGTTCAGTATCAAATGATTAATTCACGTCCAATAGTTCAGAAAGTCATAAATATTTAAAATCTTTTGACGTACGAGTAGGGAGACTTAATGAGGAATTTAAAAGATATACTTGACATTGTTCTTTAATTCTCTGACATTTCATTTTTTCACTGAGTTGTAAAGTCCTTAAATATTTAGACTAAAAAAAAAGTGTATGTCAGTAATGCTTCAGATGCTTCCATTTTTAGTCTCAATCGTAAGAGCAATGTGAATATTTATTTACCTATTAATGCTACCTTTCGTACATCTACACAGTTTTTACTGCTAAACTACTGCTGAAGAGCTGGCAACAGTCATCCAGCCTTCAGGATATGTAATTTAGAATATCAAAGATAAACTGTACAAAGATATTTGGATGTGATTCTAGCTGGGCTGTGATCTAAGGGACTAAGTGGAGTATGCTTCAAGATATGGCAGTCTAGTTCTTAATTTGTTGTTCTTGGTGTTTTTGCATGCTTTTTGGAAAGAAGAATTAAGGTGGTGTGTGAAACTGGGTTGATACATGTAACAGTGTCCCTCAACTTTCAGTATCCCAATAAGGCTCTTGTTGGCAAAGCCCAGCAAGGGTTTTGATTTTGTATTCTGCAGAAATTGCAGTTGTAATTTACCTTCAGAAAAAGCCCCAAGTTAGGTGCCTTACAGGTTTCTAACAGAGATGCTGTAAGAAATAGTTTGTAGTGAAAAGAGGATACAACTTCAGGATACTCTGCGACCTGTGTAGAGCTTTCCATGGTCGACATGAGTGCATGGAAAATTGACCACCTTTTGCGTCCGACTGATCTGCATGTCTTTGTTCAGACTAGCCTAGGTTTATAA